CATACTGTATCGCTGCAGAACTTTAATGCAAGGCATTGCGCATATATAACCAGTCGGACTCAACTCGGAGTGCATGCGGTCACAGAAGATGCCCGTTGTGGAGTCAGTACTCTGACGGGTCACTATCTAAGTACCATCCGATGCCTACGCCGTGCAATCTGTTCCATATCTCCATTCGTCGTGTCATCTATGTGCTCTCGAGGATCGGGATAGCGGGTATGATAGGCTGGCGGTCGAGAAAGCGATCCTCGGGTATGTCGGGTATTCTCTTGCTTTACCGTCTTCGCCTCAATCGTAGTCATAGACATCGGTGAGTAGAGACGCACTGGCAGCATCAGTAAAGTGCAAAAAGTCTGAGAACTCTGAGAGTTCTTCCACAGATGTCCTCAGAGGTCAGAAATGTCAGACCTCAGAGGCCCCTTCCAAAACATAATAATATTCATTTTCCACCATGGTGAAGCATGGCTCTGAGGTCTGTTGACCTCTGTGAACTCTGAATTTGACTTTAAGAGTTCTCAGAGCTTTCAGACTTTTCACACTTTACTGATGAGAGCGCCACAAGGGTTACGAGTGTCGATTAGAGCGAAACACAGAGGCCGCGCATGCGTTGAGTATTGAGATGTCATGAAGAGTCGAATGGCGATGGGATGCGAAACACTGGATGCTGAGGTCGGAAGTCGTATCTGCTGGTGTTGACGAGGGCGGCGCAGGCTCTTCCATCTGGGTGGGTCCGGTGAGGATAGTTCGCGTGCCAAAGCAAATTTTTTGCGCATAGAATGCACTCTCACCTGGATCTTCCCATTCCGGGGGTGGTTGCGGAACAGTCTTCGCATAGTCCAGCCATATCTTCCGATTCGCGGCATGTACCGTCTCCGCAATGGCGCTGGCCTGGGAGAGGCTCATCTACCGCCACCGATGTGGTGTGAGAGAATGACACCCGGTCCAAAGACTGTTGGAGGGCTCACCTCCCATTCCGGAGATGTTTCCAGAACCGGCTGCGCAATTTCCACCAAGTCTTCGCAATGGTACTGGTCTCAGAGGGCAGCGTCTAGCAGTATCGCCAAACTATTATGAGTAAGTTCTTATATGCCCATGCACGTCTAAGGGCTCACCTTGGTACCCTGCGGGGAGGCACCCGCCACGAAGCATGGGTAAAACTGGTGGCAACCATACGTGAGCTGCCGCATGATGCAGGTCAGTGACTAGTAGATACTCACACTGCGTGCGAATGTGAAGTTGATCGTGTAACACAGGCAAGCTAGTGCTGATCAACTCGGGCCAGCTGTCCTTCTCCGGCGACATGAATGGCCCAGACTTCTTCACAGATTCCCAGTCCTCCAAGACCACTGCGATGAGGGCGTCGGAGGATATGGCCTTCAGCTGCTCCTGCATCTCCTCATAGAAAAGCAGCTGTATGATTGCTGAACGCAAAGGCCACTTGACTTTGCTGAAGCAAAAGAGGAGTTTGAAGGAGAAGAAGCGGAGCGAGCGTGCGGACCTAAGAGCTGAGATGGCAGAAGAAATGAATCGGCGGTAACTGTCGCAAATATGAGCTGGAATCTGTATATCTTCTTCCTCATACCACAATTTGTGGGCCTGGTACCTGAAACCCAGATTGATGTTGACATGGAGAAGCTCGAGAGCGGGAAGGGTCGACTCAAAATCGGAGTGTATGCCTGAAGCATGGAAGTGAGCTGGTGAACGGCGCGCCTTCGTCTGTGTGACGCACCGAGAACTGGATCCGGATCTTGTGGTGTGTGGTGGCCCTTTACCTTTCCCAACTGCATGACGAAACACAATTGCATCACACGGTCCCCAAAAATACCTGGCGGCGGGAAACTCTCCGACTGCAAGTACATTCCCTGGTGTACTAGTCAATGTCCGCCCTCGATGTCGGAGCCAAGTGGCACTCGCACCTACCCCCAGTGTAAGATGCCGAAGCTGTTGACACCGCCGAGGCCGAAGGAGTTGCATCATGTGTAGCTTCTCGCATTCGCATGCGAAACTCGAAGACGGACCAATACTGCCTGTCGGATCTCCTGCATTGATGTCGTGGTGAAGAGTCAGAGAGCGTAGGTTGTCGAGAGACCAGATGATGCAGAATATATTGGTTAGCGGCAGAGAGCAGTTCCATAACATCAAGTTCTGGATAGGATAATGGGTGATGAGGGAGGGGAAGACAGGTGGGTAGTCCTGGGAGAGGTCGAGGTTGTACAAGTTCAGGGTATCCAAACGTTGCAGATGCCGGAGGAGGAAGCCTTGTGCGAATGGAACATAGGACGACCTTCGGTATGGGTAACGGGAAGTTATCCAAGGTTGGTAAAACCCCTCAACCTCGAGCTCGTGGACGAGGCTCGCCAGGAAAGGCTGCTCAATGAGCGTCCTAACAAGCAGCGAGGTGGCGGCTTCTGAGGGTAGGTGCACTCTACGGTAGAGCATACGGCGGCTCCTAGGCAGCCAGGAGCTGCAGACAAGAGCACAGTTCCAAAGAGTCGGGTAGTGGGAGCGGGGATTGAACACTCCGAAATTGGGAGGGGAACCAGCATAGTCGATCACCATCTTGCAAATTTCTGTCGGAAGGCATAGGTCCCAGACTGAGGAAAGGAGCATCTGGCGCAGGTTCGCGGGGTAGGTACGGTTGAGGGTAGGTAACTAGACCAGCCCAGTGTCGAGAGGTATATACTGTTTGGAGGCTGTGTGTACAGCTCTTTGCAAAATCATTGTTGTTGAGACTCCGACAACGCGTGCACACGTTTGACACGATTAATTCCAAAAAATCGAATAAATCACTGAACTCTTGCACGCTTTGTATCTACCTCTGTAGGGCCCGTAGCGGCCTGAAAATACATACATACATTGTCCACTTCCAGTCCTGCGTGTGCAGCGAGTTTGAGGCGATTCAGACAAGAGCTGAGGGTGCTGTACACAGAAGAAGTCCGCCGCGCGCGGCCGCCAGACCGTCAGGCTGCGCCCTCTTGCTCTTGCTCACGACATGGTCATCTTCAACACTGCCCTCTCCTCTGACCTCGCACTTGCTTTGAGGCGTTGAACCGGTGCTCGCCATGGTGGCTCGGACTCACTCCAGCATGACATCCAACACTGCTGGCAGCGACTGCGAGGAACCGGCCTCCGACGACCCTGAACTCGGACAAGACCCGGCTTCCGAGCAATCTGACACCTCGTCCAACGGCGATATGGATCCGCACAAGGCTACCTTTGAGTATGAGCCTACGTATCAGTGGGAGACAGGGCCGGCAGATTGGCAGGCTGAGGACTCGGAGGCTGAGGAGGCTGAGGAGGCAATAGAGGTGAAGTATGAGGAGCACCAGTCTGAGGCTTTGGGGAGTTCTGGTGAGTACTCAGTGGCCTCTTAGCATCATGTCCCCTGCTTGAAGTATCACTTCCAGTAGGGGACTCGGACACTGATGAATTCCCAGAGACTGGAGCGGAGATCATCGAGAGCCTCAAGAGTTTGCCGCTCAAGATCAAGATTCCCACTGCTTCCCAGCTCAGTCCACAGAAGAAGACTGTGCCGCAGTCTTCTGTTGGGGCGAAGGCTCCATGGTTGAAAGCCTCACCTAAGAAATGCCTCCTCGTCGCCAAAATCTCAAAGAAAGTTGCACTCGCCAAGAAGGCTGTCGCTCAAGGGAAGGGTCATGCAAGCCTGGAAGCCAAAGCACCTCCACAGGTGGGAAGGGTAGTACACCCTCGAAGGCCATGTCTACGAAGAAGGCCTGCATTGCGCGCACCTCAAAACCCCCTTCCAAGCTGTCTTCAAAGCAGGGATCATCGTCATCTGCCAAGGTTGACGATGTCAGTGAGTGGCAGTTCTTTGAAATCACTGCGCCCACTCCGGTTGAGCCGTGGGACACAAAACCAGCTCGGGGCAGGGGTCATCACTGTTCTTGCGCAACACGCTGTCGCCGGTGTCCACCACTTCTTCATTGACCACTGCTTCCGGTTCGTCGCTAGGGAGCATCGACAACATCCATCTGGCGTTGGTGGTCATGGGCGGCCAGTTGTCAGATGGTCCGGCCTCCAACTCAGTGTGTCACCTGCAGGTGTTCTGTCCACCGTCAATGCTGATTCACAGTATGGACAGGCTGACTCCCTTGAGGTGGAAAAGACTCATGGACCTCGAGCCAACGTCTACGCTGACTATCAATGCGAATGGTGTTCGAAGCAGTCTTGCACGCCCCGAAGGTCATCAGTTGCTGACAAGCAAGATTGGCTCGAAGGAGACGACACTGCGCCCTCGAAGGTCAAAGCTGTTGAGCGTCATACGGCAGTGCGCACAAGCCATCTAGTCCGGAAAAGCATTCGGCTGACAAACTCGTAGATGGTTGCCACTGCAGAAGAGTGCACGCCTGCTGACATGGACGCCATCCTGAGGAACCCCGTTGACTACATGGATTTCTCCTTTCTTGGTCACAGCGAAGAGGAAAGTGAGCTAGAGGAAGCCACGGGCAGCTCAGGTCAAGACTCGAGCATCCCCCCACCCCCATCCCCCACTTCCGTGGCTTGCTTGGTGTACGCGACACCACCAACGTCGCGTCTGCAGTCACCCTCTTGCATACCCAAATCGGAGTGTTGCTCGTCTCCTGTCACGGTGTTTGTCACCGCGCCAAGCTCCCCGATGTACGCGGCTCCATTGCGAACCTGCAACTGTTCCGGGGCAAGGCAGTACTATCCTCTCTGGTCTTCCTGGACCTTGGTGTGGTACCGCTTTCACGACAGAAATCCTCTCATGTAACATACTATAGCACCGCTGTCTTTCAATGCCAACAGTCCATCAATGTACCCTCAGTACAACCTATTGTCGGGTACAGAGAGATATATACATATACATTATACAAGCATTGGCCACTCCCACAATGAGTCTGCTCTCAGCGCATGAGCTTGATACGAGCAAGTTAGCTGCTTTCCGGAGAGGAGTGAACAAACTCCGACTCAACGCAGAGCATTGTGAGGAAAAAGGTTGAAGCCGACAAAAGGTAACTTGACCACCGCAGGGGTCGAACCTGCAATCTCCTGATCATTCGGACACACCGGACCATCGTAGTCAGACGCGTTGCCATTACGCCAGGCGGCCATGTATTTATGCACCCATATGTCCATGCCATGGGTTGGTCACGCGATTGAGTATCGACGCTCACTCTTTACCGGCTGGTATGTTCTTCTCTGGGCTTGGATTCATGGTGAACGCGTGACACATACGAACCTCCACTTGGACAACCGGAACAGGCTCCGAAGAAGGTCAAGATCGACTGAACGACTTGGGGGGCCAGCTGTACTCGAGCACTTACTGGACGAGACGTTGTTGTACAGAGTACTTACCTGTACTTACAATACTTACTTACCGGACCAAGTTGAGGGGAAGTGATCGGTGAGATCGGTGAGTTTGAGATCGGAGCACTTGAATACTTCATGTGATTACTTGAGAACGCACGAGCGCCGTCGAGTGGGTCCCTCCGACTCCCCAGAAGCTGGTCAAAGAGGTTGCAGCGCAAAACGCCGAACGCTCGGACTTGAATTCGAGAAGAAGCCCCGAGGCTCGCGGTTAGGGAGGTGCGGGGAAAGTCACAAGTGCACGGAAGCCGTCCTACGGCCCAGGGAATTGACTCCGTCCTCCTCCGGAGGACGGAGCTGCGGTGCGGCAAGGACGGAGGTGTTTCACAGGTGTTTCGGCAGTGCCAGCTCTCGCTCGGACCTTGGCTCTGGTTGGCATGACTCTACAGTGCTCTCACTCAGCGTGGGCTCGTATTCTCCCAGCGGTGCGGGGACGGAGGTCAAGTGACCCATGGCCGCAGTCGCATTGCCCGCGGGCATGAGAATGCGAAACGGGGCGCGAACGGCGACTGGCCTGGCAGGGAAGGACGACACCGCACGGCGGGGGATTGCTGGTCATGCACTGACATTCCCCGCATCCGTGGACACCGCCCTTGATGAGCTTACGACAAGGTGCGACAGCGGTGCGGGGGCGCGGGGATCCGAGAGGGTGCGGGGATGACGCTGAGCTCGCCACCGCGCTCCTCGGCCTCGACCGTGTGTGGACCGCGTATGTGGGGAATGAGGAGAGGGCGGAATGGCGAAGGTGGCTAAAGTGGTGTGCTCGCGGGCTCCGCGAGGAGAGGAGGGAAGACTCGGGAGGACGAGGCGTTCACGCGTCCCGGCTGATGGCTGCACCTCGGAGCATCTCGAGGTCCGTGCGGGCCGTGGTGTGCAGTCGCCTGCGGGCTCGTCGTGGCCTGCTCGACGTGGGTTTCGAGCCTGTTTTCCTTGCGTGGTGTGCACGAAATGGAGAAGAGGGAGAATGTATACTCGGATAATCGATAGAGACGCAGCGCGGGGGCATCGATGAAAAATGGCGGAGGGCGGGCGGAATGAGCAGCCGGCGGCGCATGTGCAAAAAAGGCACGTGGCTCGGATGAGCGCGGGCGGACCTGGCATCGCCGCCAACGAACTCTCCACCGTCTCCCATCTTCCCCTCGCCGTCCATGGCGACCCTCTAGTCGCTGTCCCCGTCCTCGTCGTCGTCGCGCACAGTCTGCAGGCCCAGTGCCCCAGGCTGCTCACCCTCGATTCAGGTCATCAGACCGGTCCATACACTCCCCCTCGGATCCTCGCTGCCGACACCTCCCGGAACCTAGTTGACTTCTCGAACTTTTCTCCCGCCCTGCTTGCTCTAAATCACCCAGGCACCTCTCTCTCGAGTCTCTCCTCCCCGACGACTCCCATGAGCATGCCGGTCCCCGCGACCTTGACAAGCTATCTCCCCGTCCTGCTTGTCTCTGTCACCCACAACGCCGTCCCAGACGACTCCTCCTTCGACACCCAGCCCGAGGGCCAGGTCGACTACCTCTCCCACAACTGGCGTGAGGAGGATGTGTGGCGGTCATGGCGCAGCATGACGCGCCAGAAGAACGCCATCGCCAACGGCATGCGTCTCGAGAACGCGAGCTGGCGGACGTGGTGGAAGCAGAGGAACGGCCTCAAGACCATCTCTCCCGAGACCCTCAATTGGTACGTCCTTTATACCTTTCCCTCCTTTCATTTTCCTCCTATCGCGCTCCTCAAACATGCGCGATGCGTACGAACGCGATAACGCTCCTCGTGTATGGGACGCCGCTTTTGGCGCAGCGCAGCGCTTCCCGTTTGGCCCTGTTGCTCGACCTGACACATTCGTTGCTGCAGGCTCAAGGACTCGGATGTTACCTGGCTGTATGGCCCCCTCCACATCGGTCACGATTGGACCGATTACTCGCAACACAAGGCTCCGAAGCTGCACCGCAAGACGAGCCACGATGCACTTCCCTCATACAAGAGCAACACCTCCCCCTCTCCCGCCCCCAAGAAGCCCATCCTCAAGCGGCGGAGCATCAGCCAGCTCCTCTCGCTTCCTGCGAGCCCGTTCTTCCACCAGGACGATAGCGACGATGAAGACGATGAGTGCCATGCGGATGGCACCCGTTCGCCCGCACGCCCTCCCCTTGTGCATACGAAGAGCGATACTCACATCAACTTGCGTGGCCGACCGTTCCGCAAGAATTCGCCCCCTCGAATCATAGCCGAGGACGGTGCAGTGTCACATGACGGACCGACACACCCGGGGCTCCAGACGACGGCGTCCAGCGAGGCGTCCGGCTCCACTGGCAGCGACCAGGACCTCTCTGGTAGCTCGAGTCACGGTCCCGACGGCCCCGCGAAGAAGAAGCACATCTCATTCAACACCTTTGTGGAGCAGTGCATCGCGATCGAGAAGCCCAAGCTCAAGCGCTCTGCGACAGGTCCTACGCGTGGCGGCAGGATGTTTGATGCCTACGATGACGGGTCAGTGTCATGTCTCTTTAGCTGATGGGCAGCGAGGTCTGATCGTCTACTTCCTCATCATAGGGACGATTCGGAAACCGGCTACGATGGGGAATACGACGAGCCGGCGTCCATGTACTACTACAACGACCATGCGCTTGGATCAGACTCGGAAGACGATGATGACGATGATGTGCTGGAGATGCGCACCGCGTCCTCTCGCTCTCGCTCCAACTCGGCTTCCTCAATACGGAAGCCGTCGCTTCCAACACCCTTAAGTCCGGAAGCGGCGGCATCCCGTCCCAGACCTCCTATGGTCCGTCGTTCGTCCACGGATCGGGAGCATGTCACCATCGCCCCAATCGCTCCGACATTACTCAAGAGTACCGGCGTCGGTAACGAGCTCCCGACGTTGCCGGAGGGAACGACTTACGATTCGAAGGATGTGGACCTCGTATACGTTCCGACGTCGAGCTACAGCCTCCCCGGTACTCCCAACATCGGCAGCAATGAGGACGTTTACCACCATCGGGAGTCCTACTTCAGCATCGGAACGGGACCCACGTATCCTCGCTCACCGCTTCCGCGCTCTCCTGCACCTGGTTCTTCCCCTCGGATACCGAGCGTTGGCATGCCGCCGGAGTCGGGCACGTCGTCAATGCGGCGGACGAGCTCGGGGACTATCTTCCCCACTCAGCATATCGTAGACTCGCCGATGCAGCTCGATGATATGCCAATCGAGGATGCGTACGACTACTTCGGCGGACCTGACCTTGGGGAGGACTTCAACGATCGTCCGCACATTGGTCGGAGACACCGACGGAGAGACGTTCGTGACGACGATCGCGGCGGCGAGATTACGCGGTACGCAGAAGGCGGCGCTGCCAGCGTCACGATCGGCAGGAGTAGTGACTGGCGCCCCAGCCCCAGTCCCAGTCCGAGCGACTCGCCCAAGACGCCGGACACGGACATGCCCGTCGTGGTGGTGAACGAGGTGAATGGTGCGGTCGAGGAGCGACAAGAGCGCTCACGCGAGAGCAGCCCGTCGCGCACGTCTGCAGGATACCGGATACCGGAGCAGCAGCCCTCGTCTGCGTATAGCTCGTCGTCAATACCCTCTACCCCCGCCGTCCCCGTGCCTCGTGTCAACCCCACACATGCCTACGTCGCTGCATCCCCATCACCGAACTCTCTCCCTTCCTCCTTGCCGAGCACAGGTGTGTGTGCGGACCCTGCGCTTCTCTCGCCTTCCGATGGCATACCTTCGCGCGGTCGGATGCCCCATTCGCCGAGCGTCAGTGGCAGCACCACAACGGGCTCTTCGTCGTATCACTCCAGCGACTCGCGCTCTGGGTCCAGCTCGCGAGGCCGCTCGTCCACGCGCACGTCGTCGTTCTCCGACCGCGAGCGGTCGGGCAGCCGGAGTCACAGCAGAAGCAGAGGAGCGAGCTCACCTATCGGCAGCATCTCTCCCACTGGGAGCGCGATCGGCATCGTCAATGGCGGCGCGTACGCCAGCGGGCGGTGTCGTGACCGTGATCGGGATGCTCGCGGCGGAAGGGGCGCGCGGAGGAGCGAGGAAGAGCGCGGCCGGGAGCGCACTGGTCGGCGGTTAGGTGACAGCCTGAGCCCGCCGAGCATCGTGAGCTCGCCGTCGCGCAGGAGCGGAAGCAGTGACGATGGGGGTTTGTATCAGCCATACTCCCCGGTGCTGACGGAGTCGATCTTGGAGAAGCCTGGTCGGATACCGTCGCCGCCGTCGTCTGTGTCAGGGTCGTCGACCGAGACGGCGAGCGTGTCGACCGTTGGGCCAAGTGTCGCACAGCAGCAGGAGCAGCAACATGCGGAACGGTTAAGGTTAGCCGTGCACGCGCCAGCAGCGAAGGCCCCCATCCCGCCTATTCCTATCCCGTCGCCCATTCCGGAGGTCGAGGAATTCGAAGACGAGGACGAGCGGCGGTCAAGGCACCCCACTCCCGCGAACTCGCCCGTGGCCGCGTTCCGCATGCCCGTCCCCCCGGCGCAGAAGGCAGAGCCTATCTCGTCGCCCATCTCGGCTTCGCACGAGCCGGCAGCGTCAGCTTCACGGACGTCTTCGACTGGCTCCGCCTCCGCGGAGGCTTCGACTTCTGACGCCGCGTCCGCACCCCCCGAGTCGCCGACGACGACGACGGGGCCGACCTCAGGATCGGGCTCCAGGCATCCATCGCGCGCCCAGAGGGTGTCACTGGACGGGATGCAGGAACAGGCGGGCACGCTGGTCAACCGTGCCGCCGAGATGGTGCAGTCTGCTCGGGGGTTCTTGGGTTCGATATGGAACTCGAACCCTGCAAACCCTCCTTCCTCGCCGTGAGCCCCCTTGCCGACCATTAGTCTCCGATGGCGAGCTCTACCTCCCGCCCCACGCCCCCCTCCATCCGTCCATGGCCCGCTTCATTCATCCATTGCTTTCCACCATCCACCATCAATTATTGACATATGCGTATGGCCGCTGTTTATCCTCATCCAACGTTTCTTGGCGCAAGTTCTGATCCATCCATCTAATATGCTTACTACCCGTGTTTCTTGCACATAATCGCGCTCTTCATTTGTCACATCGTCCATACGCTCCCATCACCCCCCTTCAAGTTCTCACTTTTATATCTCTTATTCCCCATCGCACGTTTGCGCTCCCTGCAGGAGCGTTTACATATCTACTGTATTCCCCGCGCCCAGCACAGTGGTAGCATCGCATCGTGTTGTGTTCTTGGACTTTCGTCGCTTCCTGCTTCTGCCACCCGCTCCCCTCCCTGCCCCACCTACCCGCGGCGCGCGTGCCATCCGCCCATTATCCACCCTCCACCCTCTCTCATCGCGTACCCGTGTCTCGTGCGTTCATGTTTGGTCATCCGGTCCTGTGTCGTTGGTTTTCTTCTGGCGTCGTTCAAGTTTGCGGTCCGCGGTCCGCGGTTTGTGGTCTCCCCCATGACTCTCCCCATCACCATCACGCACCGTACCCCGTACCCGTATCGTATAGCCGCACCGAATACGCGCAGTAGTAGTAGTAGTGTCGTGACGTCGTCCTTCTCTTCTCGCTCTCCGTGCATGCGTACGTGTATCCCATAGGCTTCATAGGCTCATCCATGCTTGGCTCGCGCTAGCTACCCTCATCATCCGATCGTGGTCCTCTCTCCTCTCCCTGGTTTCGATTGTTTGTATAGATGTACTTCTGGTGTATATACTCTACTGAATGGCGAACTCCCTATCTACTGGTTCTTCACAGCCTCTTTGTCTATCGCTGGCTGCAAGAGGTTTTTGGTCGGCTTGTGGCTTGTATCTGGGTGCGTGGCATGTCTTCGAGCTGCAGTTGCTGACCACCTCCGCTGTTCCGTAGTGAGCTAGTGTAGGAGGTGCATATTCGCGTCACGACGGGAGGCTAAACACGATATATGTTCATGACAGGTTACACCGATTCGCGTCTCTGAAGGTGCGTCCCCGAGGCTACTGGTTCAGTGGTGATACTTTGTGCCAATCTCCAGACGAAAGTCACCACCCTACTACTTTCTCCGCCCTTTCATCCTGCAGGTCTGGTCTGAAGGCTGCCGCCCCTTCGAATCGTTGATCGAGCGGACGCGGGCCTCATCGTCCGCACCATTAACGGCACCGGTTTCCACGTCTATTGCATTATCCTCCTACGGTCGACCTGTTCCAGTGACATGCTACTGGTCCCTCAGCACCGGAGCACGTCGAGTATCAAGCTAACACAATAGAGTTATCCGAGGACAATGTCACTGCTGCACATTCGTAAAGTCCTCGCAACGGTCGCAAAGTACGGTGTGCCGCTAGTCCGCGCGGCGATGAAGAAGGCGCTTGGCCAGCAACAAATTCGCAGAGCAGACTCCCCGTTGCTTGCAAACGTTTACCCTCCTCCTCCGCTCGGAAGGCGCTACGAGAGTACCGGTGAGTAAGTAGCGCCAGTTATTCTCAGGCTCTTGCGGTGTGTGTGTATGTCTGAATCGCTTCAGTGCGCTTCTTCCCATTACCGCAGTACACCTCGCACACCCCACGAGGCGACTTACCCTCAGCTTCGGTAGTGCGGCTCCGAGCCTATACTCACTCCTCTGCCTTGCCTCCTCACTGTGCTCACGAACCACGTCTGTCCTGTGATTATTGTTCAGTAGTAAGTACAGCCCCATCGCCGGATGCAACCGTGACAGCTGGCTAAAACTGCGCCATGTTCTCAGGCCAGGACTCTGCTCTACCACAACTCAGTTCTGTACACGCGACTGCCGACGGTGTGGACGGCGATGTCCGAACAGTCTGCTACGGTACGTGAATCGTCGAACTTGTCCTAGCCTTAGGGGGACCCAGTCCCTGAGGGCCTAGTAACGCCGGTGACTAAATTGATTTCGTGCAGGTGGTTAGTGAGCTCACCGAACAAGTCACATACCCGCAACTTCCAGGAAAACGCGCTGCAGCTCCCTTCGACAGGAGCGATGCTGACTTCGTCTTGCGCACTGCCGACAACATCGAGTTTCGCGTCCATCGCCTGATCCTCTCCCTGGCGTCTTCCGTGTTCGAGGGCATGTTCTCCATCCCCAAACCGCCCGCACTGTCCCCCGATCGCGATATCCCAGGCATCTCGATTCCCGAGGACAGTCAAGCGCTCGACCTCTTCCTTCGTATCTGCTACCCTCTTATCGATCCCGAGGTACCGACTTTACCCCTTCTCCGCAAGGTCCTCGTGGCTGGCCTCAAGTACGACGCCCCGATCGTTATCAATGCGATGAAGAAGGAGCTGCGGCAGGCGCGCTTCATGAGCGACGACCCTCTACGGGTCTTCGCCATAGCTTGCCTCTACGATATGGAAGAGGAGGCGCAGATCGCTGCTGAGAAAGCGGTCGTCAAGGATGTCGTGACTACGAGCAGCTGTCCCGAGCTCGACGAGATCAGCGCTGGGGTCTACTCCCGCCTCCTGAAGCTCAACCGCACCCGAACTAGGATTAAAAGGCTGAAGCCTACCACTTATGGAGTCGCCTTCACCGGGATCCTACCTCTGTGCCGAACATCACATACCGAGCCCGTCCGCACTCAAGGCCCACTCAGTGCGGTGCTATACCCGTTCACACCGCTCGACGGTGCGGATATCATCCTCCGCACGACCGACTCTTTAGACTTCTTCGTCCACCGTGCCATCATCACCTTTGCCTCCCCAACGGTGTTTCTCGACACTTTATTGCAAGAGAAAACGTCTGAACGCTCTGACCAAGACTCGGATACTGAAGACGAGCGCCCCGTCTACCTCGTGCCAGAGGACAGTAACACACTCGATATCCTCCTCCGGATGTGCTACCCCGTTGACCATCCACACATCGGGTCGGCTGATGTCTACCTGGGTGTTGCTTTCGCAGCTCACAAGTGGGGTTTTCGAAAAGTTGAGCAGGCCCTGCTTAGGTCCTGGTCCGAATACTCCCACCGAGCCCCGCTTCGCTTCTACTTTGCAGCAGTGCAGTGCGGATGGCAGGCGGAGGCCAAAGCTTGTGCACTTCAGCTCGCAATCACACACTCCCCCTGTGACATGGATAACGCCTACGTACCCGAGATGGAATCCACGAGCAGCCTTCCGTATCGCCGTCTCCTCTCATACGCACAAGCTTGCCGCAAGGCTGCAACCATAGAATTTCAGTTGAACAATCTGCCCGGTCGCCAGTGCCCTCCCTCGAGCGGCTGTCACATACGGTACCCAACCACGGTGTCCACCAGCAGCGTGCCTTCCTGGCTCTTCCCCCAGTTCAGCAACTTACAGCGTGGCTTGGCTTCAAAGCCATCTGCGATTGTTCTCACTTCCCATTTCACAACGGGTACAATCATTTCGACGGCCATGACTACAGACGCACATTGCTGCGATGGGACTCCGACTCCGCTCGAGCCTCCTCGATCCCTAGTTGCGACCGCTAGGCTCCCGTCGGTCGTGCCTACTACGCCGACGTCAGTGACAGCCCCGCTGCCGCTGTGTAGTAGTGATAGTAAAATTGAATGGGTCATCGACCTCCTCAAGAAGTACGCGGCAGCCGTCGACAAGGCGGTCTCGGAGGTGAGTGTGCTACTTCGATCTCACTTGATATATTCAAGCTCATATCATAGTAACTTAGGTCAAGCTGGAGATGGCCTGATGGCTTTGAGCTGATTCACCTGTCATTGCTGAGTGGATTGTATGAAATACAACGCGTCCAATGTTACCAACTTACCAGTACTATGTCGTGTGTTTGGTGACTGTTTCTTTGCATTATTGAGGTACTTACCAATGTTACCGGACGTGGTCCTTAGGAATTATGGCCGCCTGGCGTAATGGCAACGCGTCTGACTACGAATCAGGAGATTGCAGGTTCGACCCCTGCGGTGGTCAATCTCAGAAGTCCCTGCATATTTTGCTTCGTTCAGTTTCTCCTAGCCTTGCAGCTTGCTTACGTTTGTGTCATCAGCTGAACGACAGAATTTCGAAGTAACCACCTCTTTTGTCCTCTTCCCCGATCATCAAGTGCTACACAGGTCGGTCACCTTGGCCTCGCCTTGCGGCAACACCATACACAGTCGAAGGATGGGGATCATCTCCCATAATCAAGACGATACTGCACGATACTGGTCAAAACGAGGGTGTACGACGATGGCTACATACTATCAAGGAGTAGGTGAACTCACAGTACTTGTCAGACCTCATCGCACCATGGACTTCCTTCTGCCTGATCGGAGGCTCTCTCGTCATTCCTTGTTGCCAGCTCCAGTGTCTGGCAAGGGGGAAGTGCTGCACTGGCCGTAACGAAGCTGACGGTAGTAAGTATGGCATACCCACAGTGTCAAGGTTCGGGTGATTCACTGTCAGACCACACTTTACTTCTTCTCAACAGAATCCGAGACTGCGTCAGGTCACAACTCACCAATGACCATCGCTTCTGCACCTCCGGGACAGCGCAACAGTGCGACGGTCCGATCCTTCTAGGTTGTCATGCCCAATATTGATCCCACCCAGCCCGGGTAGTCGACGCTACCATACAGATGCCGTTCCTTTGTACCCCGTGTTGCCCGTATTCCGATATGCACCTACGACAAGCAACCAAAATCTTGAGCCAGTGGCCTTCGGAGAAGCCAAAGCTGCAAGGGGACTCGGCGGTATGCGTGTGATGCTGTGCCGTGAGTATGCACCGTAAGTCCGCCATCCTGTGCTAGCTCTATGACGTTGCCATCTCAGAGGTCATTGCAAGCGGCCAGCGGAATGCTGAAGTTGGGCCCACGGGGCTACTATGTACTCTATCACATCCGTGATGTTCGTGATCAACAGCCACCCTGTCAAATTCATCTCAGTTCGAACTTCGCCCACGAACAAGCTTCTGTCTGTTCTCTTAATCTGCGGAACATTGTAGCGTGGGAGGAGGTGCGAACGCCAGGGATGGACTGCCAGAGGATAAGTATGGCGACAGCTGCGAATGGTCTCCCTTTGGTTCCTCAGTTTGCCATTCAACCCCCACCACTCTGAGAGTATGCCTATCCTCATCGACTCGTCAGAGCTTGCTGGGATGGCGATCAAAGGTCCGCTGTATGGTACGTCTCGACATTCACCTGCCTGCAGCATACTCACCTGACATCCTTTGTCCTCCCCGACCCGGCCAGGTATCTTCATCTGTCTCTTCATCGTGTGCGGGTACGACCTGTACCGTCGATGGGCCTCTGGAGAGATACAAATCAGCTGGCCGATGATCGTCGCTGGCGTGTTGCTCGTCCTACTAGCAACAGCTCGCTTCATTGTCGAGTCGACATCACATACTTATTCATCGCCTTCATTCACCAAGACACGCGCAAAGCACGGTTGGAGTTCTTGCAAGATGTAACGGCCGATATCTTCATCACGAAGCACGCTCTGTTCATTATGTCTCTGCTAGTCGGAGATCTCTTCGTGGTATGTGCACGTGATCTTGTCTCGATTACGCTACCTTTCTCACATATTCTTGCAGAACTATAGATGCTGGGTAGTATGGGGCAAGAACATTTGGGTGGTTGTCCTCCCTCTATTGCTCTCGATTGTTGCAGCTGGTAAGTGCGTACACCCTGAATATCATGGACTCCAATGCTGACTTCGTTCACCTGGCTACTAGGGTCTAAATACTACGCTCTGTGGGGCTACACTCACCTCACTGGTCAGAGCATCTTCGCCCAGCAGCGGCCTATGAAGATCTTCTTCTCTGCAAGTCTCGTAGCCAACGCCTTAGCAACTTGTACATCTTCTCTCGTCTTAGTCTCTATGCGAACTCACAGCACCTCACAGCATTACTCGCATCCCGCATCTGGTACATGGACTGCACGGGAATGCATGCACTTGACCTTGAAGGAACTGAGCACAAGCTAACCCCCGTTGTGCGCATCGTCCTCGAAAGTGGTCTGCTCAATGCCGTGTTCCTCTTTCAAGCCTTCATGATGACGCTTGCATTCAGCTCGACGAGCCTTGAGATCATGTCTAAGATGGTACATAATAAACCTTTCCATCATTGCACATTTCGCGTGCTGAGGCAGGTGTCATGGCTCCAGGGCACGCCTATGTGCAGCATCGTCTTCTGCATCATCATCTTCCGCGTCGGTCTCCGGCGACACAACCGCTTCCAGCGCGGTACATCTGGAGAGCCCTCTATGAGTTGGGGTGCTGCTATAAAGAGTATCGGCATGCGCATCAACCGCAACACCATGGCTAATCCACCTGCAACGAGCGGGACATGGGACCCACCGACCCTGCTCCGCGTCCGAAGACAACTTTGGTTCATCGTGGAGGGGCTCGATAGTGAAGCCTGTCGTTGCAGACAACGTCAAGTCTTCGAGTCTTGCACATTAAGTCTCGTACACCCTTCCCCGCGTCTTAGCCAGATGTGGAGTATCTTCATTAAGAGTACAACAGAAGGCTGTTGTGTATGTTTACCCATAGACTGACAAAAAAGATGATACCTCTACCCTTTTCGCCCACCTAGTATGTCCATGAACGTACAATACACCAACCATCAAAGGTGAGGAGGACGGGTACTATTTCGGTAGCGACAGCACAGGTACAGGCGTCTAATCTACCAGGAAGTCTACTTAGATGGTGTCCTAATAGAGGAGTCCTTCGGGCCCATCCGTGTGTCAATAACAAACGACACCGGGGCAGGTACAGTATCGTGCCGAGCTGCCACACCCACGACAGGAATAGCGTCTGCGTCTCAGGTACTAGTCCTCTAGTCCGAGCACGGGCCACGGTACCAGTGACCAAGTTGCCCTCCACTAGTTGTCATCCTGTAACACTCCACAGAAGGTAAGTCCAGCTACACTACGGTATCGTAGAGGAGCAATACGGGTCCAAGTTGTGTAGTACTAACATGGGAGTACTCTCACAGAGTTGGAATACAGCGTGCACGAACTCTGCAAACGGAGGCAAGAGGTTGTCACAGTTAAGAATAAGGTCGAGCAGTCTCCAGCCATACCATCGCCATCTCAGTCTCTCGCACACCGGGGAGAGACCGTCTGCTGTCTGATAGAACAGCTGCCGAAGCTCGCGGATGCACGGGGCAGAGCACGAGAGCAGTACATGCGGCTCATCCTCCACAGAGCCCGATGCCTGGGCCGCGGCGAAATGACTCAACAATTGTACTGCGATAGCTGCCAGATATGTGTCTATGTAGCTTCAATCTCAACATCGTCTACTTATTCTCCCTGCCGCGATGAACTGTGCAGCATGGCACTCACCTCAGCCATTACCATAGTCCAGTCTTCTGGCGGGACCACTCCACATCGCTCCTCTGAACGGCCGCGGGAAGCACACGCGCGTGGCGATGCAGATCATTTACAACATAGCCAGCAGAAGATTCCAGAGACAGTGGTTCATTCACAGAGCGAGCAGAGATACACAGCAAGTACAGCGGAGACAGCGAAAACACGACAGCATCGAGAGCGGGTATATATATGTGGTGAAGCGGGGAAAAGTACTATGCTACAGGTGAACGTAATTACTGGCAGGTTGGGCAACGAACGGGATGATTTGTCCAGTGAGCTTCAAGACTGGCTAGCATAATTAGAAAGAGGAGCGGGAACAGCGCAAGCAAGAATGATGACTACACGATACATGGGATGCAATGCGGGCAACGGGAGTGGCAGGGACATTTCAAGCGTTCAACTTGTCCCGGACGTTGTTGTAGCTGCGGCGCACAGCCAGAGCGAGGACCTGGTCAAAGAAACAGAGGTGAGCCACGACCCTTCAAACCCAAGAAACTCACTCGCACAATGATGAGAGCAAGGAAAGCCCGTCGCTGCATCCGCTCCTCCCCATACATCGCACGCTCGAGGATTGCGCGTTCTTCCTCATCGGCCTCCGTGCCTTCCACAGGTCCCCCCGGCTACAAAGCGGCCCAACAATCTGTCAACCTCCTCCGTTGAGACACCGCAGCTGCTCCACGTCACGTACCGCCGTCGTATCGCCGTCGCCCTCGTAGTTCGGCTCGGCAGGCTCATCCACTACGGTCGACTTTTCCAAGGACTCGCTGTCAATCATCCCACAGCCTCGAACGACATGTAGGCTGTGTACTCACCAAGCGCAGTCCAGGCCGCTCAACGTGGGCGTACGGATGAAAGCGCCGCAAATGACTCTCGCGGTAAGGAGGGAGGCGGAAAAAGCGGAATGGGTCGCCGGTCATGAGCGCAATTCCTGCAAGAGTGAAGGAGGGGTAAGAGGGCTCCAGCAGCGCGATCAACGGGGCATGCGAGTGCAGCGCGGGGCGGCAAGATGACTGTGAACTCCGAGGGCGGTGCTCTGCTTGGAGAACCAGAATGGTGGCAGGGAGGAGGCGACGCCAGCGGGGCTCCCTGGGAGCTCGGGGAAAAAATTTACTGGGGCAGAGAATGAGGCAGATTGAGGACAGGCAGATCTCCGCTGCAAGCTCGAGACAGCGGCGACTTGCCGTTCTGTCAATTGAGAAGCTGGGTTGAACCTTATATGGATCACCATGTTGCTGCGGCATTCTGAGGGCTAAGTTTGCCGTCTATTGCTTCGGTTCTGGTATGCTCATGCAAGCTCGGACGACCACCGCTGGCTAATGGTTGCGAAGGAGATGCGAGCGGCCTGAGAGGGATGGGCGGGAGAGTTGACGGGGAGAACAACGGCAACTGCAACCGCGGCCTCGGAGAACAAGAACGTCCGTGTCGAGGCCGGGCACCTCGCCACATAAGACGGTGAGCCTCTTCGTTGCGGGGCACCAGCAATCGACAGGACCTCTTCTCTCTGGCGCACAGTTTGTCTTCAAGTTTTCGCCCGGACAGCCAGGCATGGCAGAGTCCCTGACCCGCGACGTTGGACGCGCACCATGCGCACATCTCGCGCATGCCTTGATGTGGCCTTCGGTCCATCTGCGGTTAAGGCCTTCGTTCTTGTGATCGGGCAACCGCTGACAAGAGCTTGAGCGGTTCAGCGTACGTGCGGGGCCGGATCGAGAGACTCGAGTCTCACATCCACATAGGTGAGCTCCTGATTAGTCTTGACGGCAAGTCATATGGGGAGCAGTGGGTCGAGTCCTTGTGTTCGGGTCACGTATGCACGCACTTGAAGCATCATCCGCATCACTCCTACTACCGCCAGTGGTCCCTCCAGGAGGCTGTAGTCTGTGACCAATGTCACGTCACATCGTGTCCGGTGCAGCAACCACGTACGAATTACTTGCGCAGAACCTTCAGCGACTTCCCTGATACACAAGGGTCTGAAGTGATATAATCACCAGGCTCGGGGGGTGTTCTCGGAGGCTTTATGGCCGCTTCTTCCGAGTCAGCCCAGAGGATTGAGGCTGCCTGCAATGTCCGTGTAGAGCAAACACCATCGGCAGCAGACTCTCAGGATGGAGATCGTTCACGCTTACAGATGAACTTGACGGTAAGCGTAGAGTGAGGAACCGAGATACGTGTTAGGTGTGGCATCCTGAAGTAAGCTTGGCATGTGGGATACGAGCTGGCGAGGGAACGTACCCGTCAGAAGAAGTGATGCGTTCGAACCACAAGCATAATGCTGTGGATGCGGACAGAAAGCTGGGTGACTTGAATGCGGAGAGGATTCCGCCACCTATTCTTACGGATCACAGTGACATGTAGTATGTTGGCCGCACGTCCTACATGACTTGTCCGATCTTATTTTCGTGATCAAGAGCATCGTCGTTGCACCTGGGTCATAATGTGGGCGCGGAGAGGGGGAATCTGTGGCCAAAGCTATTGTCATTCGTACGAAAGACTCACCTACCATCCTCCCGACAACAAACGACCTCCGCAATAAGCCTCGTTCGCTCCCTTTCTTAAAGCACAACATGAGCACGTGCAAATTGCACTGGTAGAGCGACGGTAGAGAAGACACTGATCACGTCGAGGTTCAACTGAAGGCAAGTTTGAAGGTGGACGACCTGGAAGTGCAAACAAGGGTGAACAACCCTGTCAACAGCAGCGGGAAGCAACTTGTATGCTATTGTCGTCTAGCAGCAATGTGCAGAAGAGTACACACGAAACGCAAGTGATGCACAGGGAATACGCGGGGGTCCTGGAGAACGATCGGTGGACGATGAGGAGCATATGGTTTCTCTCCAAGGTCCGGAAGCACCCGTCAGCGCAGAACAACACTTTGGACAACAGGCAAGCACTGGCAAGAACTTGAACAAGCGGTTGCTGCCTTGTTCTGGATACTTGCCATTATTCCCAATCCTCATCCATGGTGCTCTCCTATCACCTGGAGGATGCACGTCGAACTCGCCAGCACACTGTTTCGTGACCCCCGGTGCTGATCTTGCCCTGCCGTGCAACACTGCGTATTGGATCCTGGAAGGAGCTCAGCTGCTCACAGCCGAGTGTCCCAGGAAAGATCAGGAACTCAACCGTCTGTGAGGCTCCCGTGCTAGCATACACTAGCATGCTCCGCGCGTGCGTGAATGTAAGTCCCTTCTTCATCATCCCGAGTCGTGACAAGCCACTGATATACTCACAGCCATGCCGGCGATGGAATTCGCTTGATGTCTAGGTCGATGGGCCACAATATACTTATGCGGCTGCACGGATACTAGGTTCAAGTTCAGGAAGCAAACTGTATACTCCTCGAGCTACCAACGTCTCCACTTGCATTGTGAGGGATTCTGCTTTGGGACCGGTTGCACTCGGAGAGCTCGTGCGTTCTTCCTCTAGGTGCCCATGATGGCTGAACGTTCTCCATGGCCCCTTCAGGTTGGTCGTCCTTTATTGCTCATGGGACGCCTACATAACAGGTTGTACCAGCACGTCTACCGTTACCTTGATCCGAACCGGATCTGCACCGTCGTTCTCGGCGTAAGTGGTCTGCTGCAGTGTGAACTTGAGTGCTTCCGAGCTCACAGATCTTTCATCTGTACTTGTGTCCTCTTTGTCTCACTGTCTGCCTTGAAACATTGGCAGGTTTTCGTTGAATGAATGAAAGTCAAATATTCAAGCTGGAACAGTTCGCGCGTCTGCTTGGGTTCGAACCGCCGAGCCAGGAGTGACTGACAGCGTCCAGTTCTAGCAGGTCCACGTCTCAGCGAAAGGCATAATGGTCTAGTAGCATGATTCGCGCTTCGGGTGGAGTATCCCGACGGTACCGTCGATGTGCGCGAGGTCCTGGGTTCAATTCCCAGTTAGGCCCTTTTTGCACCTCTACGCAAGCCTGATCTCGTCATAGAACAACATCCCAAGGGCTGCTAGTATAGATACAACATCAGTGATGTCAAGATAAGCTACAAAGACAGCCATCGACGGTACAGAGCTTGAGCGAGCGGTGTCGCGCCGGTCGTGACATAGATGAGAGACAGGTTGTAGGCAGTCTCCCGTGCCAGCCCAACGTCCTGTACGCAGGTAGTCAGTTGACCTGTAAACAAAGTGCTCGACTCCTTTGCGAACCTCAGGATCAATCTGCGTTCTCTTCTCCGCTACTTCCAGGACCCGTTCATAGTGGCGAACCGCGAGCGAATAAAGGCCTACCGAGAGCAAGACCGGTGAGCGATCAAAGGCAGCTTTCGGAAGACACCCGGCTCACCAAGCTGATGGAAGATACGGCCGAAGTTGTACTCCACCTCGTCGATGCCCGCCTCGGCGCCTCCACGCAGTTCGCGATACCGTGTGAGGAAGGCCATGCCCTACTCAGAGTCGAACATGTCCTTGTCGAGCATTGAGAATGGATGTACTAACCTGAGTGATGAGGTGGTGCCTGTTGTCCGACTGTCGCTGCATGGCGCGTCCGGTAGAGGCAATCGCCAGCGACAAACACACGAGCGGGTCGTCCGGAGCATAATCGTATGCCTGCAACAGATAAACTGCGAGCAGCGCGTCAGCAGCCGAAGCTAAGGTCGTATGCACTGGTAAGGACGCACACAGCGCGCTCTGGTAGCTCTTCGCCGCGAGCAAGATCTGCCCATACACCGCAACGTTCACCGGGTTCGGCTTCGTCGGTAACTTGGACTTCTCGATCTCCGCAACCGCCGGTGCCTCGACGTCCTCGTCCTCTTCGTCGGGATCGGCCTTGCCGGACGATCCAGGAAAGTTCCACCGGCGCTGCGAATTGTTGAACCGAAGAGAGTCGGGCTCTCTGACTGCTGCGTCCGCCAGCCGACATTCCCGCAGGAGATGCTTGGAGAGCGTGGAGACGAGGAATGCATCCGTGGCGCGCAGCCCGCTGCCAAGCGACGAGACGAGCACTCGAAGCGGCTCGTTGTTGAACTGGTGTCCATTGATTAGCTTGCGGGCTTGTTCGACGACGGTCATGAATTGGTCTGCATGGATAGCGCAAGCTGCGGAGACGCATCAGTATGAACCGCGATGGCGCAGGATCGCTCTAACGCACTGATCAGCCCGAGACGGATGGAATCCTGCGAGGAGCGTGATTGATATGCGTTAGAAAACAACAAGTGGCGCAGAATCTCGTTCGCAAGCTCGTACTGTCCTCGACGAGTAAGGAGGAACGTATACTGCAGCGTGATAGACAGTCAGCGAGTGAACCACTGCGATGGGATGGCAGAACTCAACGTGCATGAAGAGGCGCAACCAATCCTCAAACAAGATCGTTCGGAAAGTGTTGACGTTCTCGGACTTGGCAGCTTTTCTCGCAAGAGCATCACGGCCTAGTGACCTCATTGGAATCCGCATAGGCAATATGATGCGGAGATTCGAGGAACGCACCGAGTTCTAGCTGCAGGCGAGAAGCCATGCTGTCCTCCGTCGCTTCTGAAGTCTGTTTCCTGGTACTCCGAGGGAACATCCCCCTGAAGCCACGATGCTACAACCAATGAGCACAGACACTCACAGCACCAGAGAACACACGTACCCGGCTCGTCAGGAACAAGGCTCTGGTCTCCCGGAACGACTCGACGAGCTTCTCGGCCTCGACAAGCCACTCACGGACAGCCTCCTCCTCGTTCGCAAGCATCCTCGGCCATAGGTCCTGCACTCGATGCCAGCTCTGCGACGCCTCGCGCTCCTTCTGTGCCTCGAGTTCGCGCAGCTGCGCGGGGTGAGCTTGTTCGGGTTCGACTTGGCCGAGGACCCCTTGCCCTTCTGCGTGCGTGCCTTCCCTTCTTCGAAGAGGGAGGCAGAACCGGGCTCTCCAGCGTCGGCGGCGCCGTCCCGCGGGGCATTGCGCCGTTTCGGGAGTCGACGACTGTAGCAGGAAGCGTGTTAGCATACCGCTATAAGGCAGAGTGACAGTTCTACCTTGCAAGACAAGCTCGAGAGCCTTCCGAGGTTCGTTCAGGATCTCGAGGATCTCTGCGAGCTTCATCTTCGCATCGTTGTTCGTTGGATCGGCATGAATGACTAGAAATCTGCTCAGCACAACCCACTGCAAGGGCTAAGTGGCTCACCATGTTCGTACACCTCCGCCGCCTCCTTCAGGTCTCCGGTCATCCGGCGACAAGCGGCAGCTTGCAAGAGCACGTACATGCTGCTTGTCTGTGCATCAATGCGCGTCAGCATAGCTCGGTTCCTGAGTAGAAGAAACGGCTTACCCCAGCATCACCACCTAGCATCTCGTAGATGTGGCCTGCTTCCGCGTACATCTCCCTCTCAAAGTACGCATCCGCGATTTCCGAGAACAGCGGCGCATACTCGGCGACGTCCTGGCCAAGAATCACCTTCGCGTGCATCTGCGCACATATCAGCGTCCTCGTGGACACTAGGGGAAGCGCGCGAACCGACCTTCCCTTCCTCGACATCCCCGGCCTTGATCCTCGCGATGGCCAAACGATGTCTCGCGTTCACGTCGAGCGGGTACATGCCCGGCTGGACTTCCCCGTCACCACCACGTACGACGCCGCTCTCGGGAACGTCCCACTCGCGGTCGTCTTCACAAGCATCCCAGAACTTTTGCGCCGCACGGCCCTGGAGCCAACGACATCCCCTCCTGATCGTGTCCGCTGCCCGCGCGTACTCGCCCAACGTGTTGTAGAGGTCCGCGAGCACGAGGATGTGCATGAGAGTGAACCCGCCACCCGGGACCTCTGCTCCTGTGTCCGGATCAATGCCGCGGCCTGTGGGGAACTCAACGACATAGTGCTCAAACGCGGTCTGGAAGAGTCGAGCACACAGCGCGAGGTCGTTGAGCTCGATGAGGATGGGGCGTATTTCGTCGAGCACGGTCAGGTTGTACGGGAGCCGCCTGAGCATCGTGAGCATCGTGGACCGGGCGATCTTCATATCTCCAACCTCCTTCGCGAGCGAAGCGCGGTCCCACAGCGCACCCATGTTCGTCGGGTCAAGGTGGTAGATCTTGCCATAGCAATACAAGGCCTGCTGGTGGTACTGCAACGCTCTGCCATATGTCCTCAGTAAACGTATACGGAAGACGGCGCGTAGGGCTACTCACCGTGACTTTTCTGCCAACTCCGCCCACTCGTCGGGGTCATGATGCAGGTGCGCGGCCATGATGCGCAGCTGCAGTCCTTCTTGCTCTCGCCCATGTCGTCGTGACACTGCGCGAGGACCTTCCACGGCTGGGGCGCCGGGGCTCGATGCGGATGACCTCCTGCATGATCCGGATCGCCTCTTGAACGTCCCCGTCGATGTACGCTTGGTTACCGTCCCCGATGAGTGCGCGCACCTCCTGCGAGAGCACGGGTCCCGACCTCCGTCCGCGCTGCTGGCTGTTTAGGAGGGTTGAGGGACATAGAGATGGCTGGTACGCACCTTCTTCTTCAGTTTGCCCACTCCGGACGCTGCGCGCAAGTCGTCCCTAAACTCTGCCTCGCGCTCCTCCAGGTTGATGTCCCACATCTTGTTGAGCATCCCGGAGCTCGAGCCATCTCCCGCCTCGCGGATGTTCTGAATGAGCCGGTCAAAGTCCCCTTCTATTGCGGCCTCCACGCGTGCATCTTCCGCTTCTGCTGCTGCTACCAGCGAGCTCGGACCCTCGCCGCGGTTGTCTTCCTCGTCTTCCTCGCTTTCGGATTCGGACGTCGACTCATAGTCTTCTGAGCCCTCTGCGTCCTCGTCTGCGGCGGTGAGAGGCTGCTTGTATCTTGACACTAGCAGCCCAGACGCACCAGTATACTCCCATTCCTCCCCGTTCATACTGTATCGTGGTCCACCACGAGCCTGAGCGAGCGAGCGGGAGGTGGTGGTGGATGGACAGAACGAGGTTTCCTCGGACCGGAGAAGCGCCTGCCGCGGTTCGACGAATCGACTCCCGCTGTCTGCGACGCCGTCACCAACTTGTGCACCATGTTCGCATCCTTAATACGCATGAGGATGTGCTGCACATACGGCTAGCAATGCTCTTAGTTTGCAGATGGACCCAACAAATATTTCGGCCCGTTACAAAAGTCCATGTTTGCAACCAATTGCTGCAAGAAGTACTCACCAGCGGCACTGGCAGGCGCATGAGGATAATTTAAGGTGACGTCAGCGTATATCCTGCCCACACACCTCCGACCTGCCTCCGACACAACCGCCGACATAGATATAAGACGCCGTTTCCTCGACTTTGGACATCTCCAACATCCTCCTCGTCGCCATGCCTGTACCAAAGAATGTCCTCAACCAGATCAAGGCAATCATTCCTCCTCTCAACGGCTCCTTACACAAGGGCCAGTCTGGGCGTGTCGGCGTGCTTGGTGGTGCTCTAGAGTAAGTATGTTCAGTAGACCTCTCAGTCCAGATATGTGCTAACCTCGATGCAGCTACACAGGGGCTCCATTCTTTGCATCCATATCGGCCCTGCGAATCGTAAGTGTTCCATGATTCCACCTGGGAACACGCCCTGATACGTCTCGACAGGGCGCAGACTTGTCGCACGTCATATGCTCGCCAACTGCAGCGGGCGCCATAAAGTCCTATTCTCCTGACCTGATCGTGCACCCCATCCTCCGCGAGGACCAGTAAGTGATTTACTATCTCACTATCTCATGATGACCGCAGCTCACCGGTATCTGCCATGCTGTAGGACTCCCGAAGCAGTCAAGCCAACGCTGTCTTCACTTCTCTCACGTCTACATGTCCTCATCGTTGGTCCGGGCTTGGGACGCGAGGAGTACATGCAGAACTTCGCGAAACTCGCCGTGAACATCGCGAAGGAACAGGGCATGTACCTCGTCCTCGACGCGGATGCTCTCTGGATGGTCGGCCAGGACCTGTCGATCGTCCACGGCTATCGTCGCG